AAAAATGATATTTAAAAAGGCATTTCTTGTGCAAGCAAAGATAACGTTGGATACTTGAATAAATCTTATTCAAAGTTTCTGTATAATACTTTCAGAAAACACTCGCTTCATGTAACATGAAAGTAAAAAAACGCAATTATAAAGAGACATAAAGCACACTAATGCAACATGCGAGATGAACGTAATCATGTTCATAGTTATTTAACATTAGATAAAATTTTGTAAATTTATCATATTAAATCGCATCCGGAAATTCAATTTAAATATCTTTTTATATATCTCTGGTGTACGAAAGCTATTTGTACGATAAGTTGTTAATAATAACAGTAAATCATTAATTGTTTTTATGAATGAGGGAGTTACAAATATAAAAGTACAATAAACATTGAATAAAACATAGGATAGGAATAAATGATAAGAGATAGAAAAGAGCATATCAACCAATACCGCTTTGTGACTATGTCAGGCACGAACGGGCACCACGTTCTGTAAGCGAGTTGGATAGCTTCCTCACATGAAAGTATCCAAAATCCCTGTCGGGATTCGAATCTAAAACGAGGAGGGGCAAGTAGTTTGAGGTCAACGGCCGCGGACGCCTCAGGTAAGACAAATGTATATTTAACAACATTTATGAGTTGAAATCTAAACCAGGATTAAAAGTTACAGATTGATTAAATTCACCGTCATGGTATTCAATCTCGTTTGAGATGTTAAATTAAGATTTTGGCTTCAATTTGGTTTTTGAAAACAATTTTCCAAGCAGAATGTTTATCATTTGATGATACTCTAGCTGCACATTGAAGAGAACGCTTTTTTTAACGTAAGTAAAGGGATGGTTCTCCTGCTAAATACTAGCGATGTTCAGATAAATGGCGAAATTAAATTGTTGAATTTTTAAAACAGTGAAGGAATAAAAATAGATTCATAAATAAATAAAAGTAAATAATTCACATTTTCAGAATATATGTCAGTTTTATATTAATAATTATATATAAAATAGATTGAAACGGTGTCTTTAAATATAGAAACCATACTGTAAAATAGAGCGAAATGAGAATCATCAGTTAAGAATACACGTATAATTCACATGTCAATTATGACAAATAAATCAAGGGTATACTAAAATTTGAACACTGCCAATATTTTAATATTAGATAACATTTCTTTTTCTGTTGTATTTTGAATGTCAACATATAAAAATGTCTTAAATATCAATGTCACACTAATGGGTTTCTCCACGAGTAAAGTGTTTGGTTTAAAACCTAATTCTTAGAGATCAATGTTAAGTTCATGTGTATCCCCACGAGTTATGTGTTTGGATTTAAACCTTAATTCTGTACCTCCAAATATGAAAATTTGTTCGACAGCATTTTCATCGGCTTTTAATGTACATTCCATCGGAACATCAATTTTCCCAATAGCTTCACATCCTTTATCTGTTGTGAAAAGTGGGTCTCGTTCAGTTGATTTGAAAAAGGTCAAAATAATGTGATCTTGAAAATCATTTACTGCTCGTCCTATCCTTGACACTTCATGCCCATCCTTTATCTCTTGTCCGATCTCAACAGCCTTCCAAAATGAATCTTTGCAACATCTACCTACATCAGTATAAACCAATTTTTCCGTGGGATGCTTTGTAAGATCAAATGGGACAGCAATATCCAGACCGTATGTATAACGTGCAATTCTTGCGGTAACTACTGACTGATTTTGCCCGAACAGAACAGCGCCTTTAAGGACGGCAAGTCCACATTCAACTGGTGTGATAACTTCCCAGTCAGTAAATTTTGCTGTAAACCTCTCTTGTACGTAATTGCTTTCAGAGAAACCACCAACAAGTATTATTTTGCTGACGTTTCTCATCTTTCGCTTTGACAATATTTCCTCAACATTACAAATGACGTTTTGAACCGGTCCCTCAAAACATTTCATGATAAGTGATGCATCAATTTTCAACTTGTCCTTCTGCCATATTATATTCCCGTCAAATAAATGCTCAATTTCCGAGACTGATCTATCTTTATTTCGTTCGTAGTGTTCCTTCAAACTTACAGGTACTTGAAGAATCATCTGTTTTGGTGATAATAATTGTAAATTTCGTTTCTTTGCTTCGAAATCTCTGTATATGTAAAGTAAATCTTCTAACTCGTTTCGTTTGTATTCCTCCCAATCAGACGCACCAAATAATACTTCAAACAATTCAATGAAGTTTTTGTCAACTTCTGTCCCTCCCCATGGACCTCCTATTGGTTCATGTATCTCAAGCAAAGTATTGTTTGGTCTTTTTTCGTGAACAGTGATATCAGCCGTACCTCCTAGAAAATTATAACGGCTTTGTCAGAGTTGATAAAATACTGTATCAAATGCAAGAAAAATGTGCTGATATGTCTTACAAAACCTAATAATATTTATTACATAACCTTGCATAGAATATTTTATCAATAATCATTTATCTTTAAAATATTTTATTTACCTCCTAAATCAACAATCATATAACGAGTCCCAACAGCTGAAATTCCCAAGACATCCATTTCATCGCAACGTTGAATTTCTGTTTTTAATCCCTGACACCAAACTGACGCCGCTTCGGGCTCAAGAGCTATAACCAGCTGATTATTTGGAATCCCAGCCTAAATTGCAAAAATGAAAAAATGACATGTTTTGTCAACAAAAATTGCCGAGTCCAAAAATTTTATCAGCAATAAATATAAAACAACTTACATTTAAGGACACAAAGAATTCCTTAAAGAACGCCAAAAAAGTTAAAAACATTGAAAATGTTCTTGCTTGGTTAAACTAATGGATGATAGTGGTAAGTGTAGAGCTACCGCTCCCGTCCCCTAGAATCGGTAAAAGCAAAATTCAGTGATGATTTGAATTCAGAACAAGAGCCATGTCAACATGGCCATCCCCCGCTTAATGTGTTTGCTCATTGGAATAATGTATATGTAGTAGAGCAGAATAATTCAATTTTAAGAGGTCTTTTGGTAATGAAAACTGATGGCTGAAGTGATTACAGATTTGAAACCTATGTAAATACTGATGGCTGAAAATAACAAAGGGCAATAACTGAAAAATAATGCAGGTTAGGTTATCATTCTTGTGTGCTGCATCCCTCCTCAGTAAAATATATCCACCTATGAAGTTTCAAGTTGATACCTAGATAAGCTCCGGACAAAATAGTATGAAAAAGAACAAAGGGCGATAACTCAAAAATTATATAGGGAAGAGTTATTATTCTTGCGCACAGCATTCCTCCTCAATAAAATCTATCCACCTATGACATTTCATGATGACATCTCAAACACTTTTTGAGTTATGCTCCACTCAGGTGAAAAATTATGTATGAAAAATAACAAAGGGCAATAACTCAAAAATTATGAAAGGTAGAGTTATCATTCTTGTGCAATGCACACCTCCTGAGTGAAATCTATGCACCTATGCAGTTTCGTGTTGATATCTCAAAGGCTATTAGTGTTATGCTCTGAACAAAAATTAATTTTGAAAAATAACAAAGGGAAATAACTAAAAAATTATGCAGAGTAGAGTTATCATTCTTGTGCACTGCACTCCTCCTTAATGAGATCCATCCACCTTTGAAGTTTCAAGTTGATACCTCAAATACTTTCTGAGATAAGCTCCGGACAAAATAGTATGAAAAAGAACAAAGGGCAATAACTCAAAACTTATATAGGGAAGAGTTATCATTCTTGTGCACAGCATTCCACCTCAATAAGATCTATCCACTTATGACATTTCATGTTGACATCTCAAACACTTTTGAGTTATGCTCCACTCAGGTGAAAAATTAAGTATGAAAAATAACAAAGGGCAATAACTCAAAAATTATGATAGGTAGAGTTATCATTCTTGTGCACTGCACACCTCCTGAGTGAGATCTATGCACCTATGAAGTTTCATGTTGATATCTCAAAGGCTTTTTGAGTTATGCTTTGGACAAAAAATTAATAATGAAAAATAACAAAGGGCAATAACTCAAAAATTATGCAGGGCAGAGTTATCATTCTTGTGCATTGCACTCCTCCTCAATGAGATCCATCTACCTATGAATTTTTAAGTTGATACCTCAAATACTTTTTGAGATAAGCTCCGGACAAAATAGTATGAAAAAATAACAAAGGGCAATAACTCAATAAATTATATAGCGAAGAGATATCATTCTTGCCCTCAATAAGATCTATCCACCTATGACATTTCATGTTGACATCTCAAACACTTTTTGAGTTATGCTCCACTCAGGTGAAAAATTAAGTATGAAAAATAACAAAGGGCAATAACTCAAAAATTATGATAGGTAGTTATCATTCTTGTGCACTGCACACCTCCTGAGTGAGATCTATGCACCTATGAAGTTTCATGTTTCGGACTATCGGCAACAAAATCGCCTTTACCCATAAATAATTTTCAGACGCCACTTAAATCCTAAGATAATAACCTCTCCAAAGTAAAGATGTACCTCAACAGCTGCTTCTCGCATAAACCTTTTCGCCATATCATTCCAAATGGCTGGAACAGTTAAAACGTAAGTCACATCAGTGTCTTTTAAACTAGGTACTCTTTTCCGGATCGTTGCCATAAAGTTGTCCTTCAGAAACTTTATAGCATTAGCAAATACTACTAGTGCTGGCATTTCTCTTCCTGATATGTCATCAATTGTAGTATACCGATTCAATTTCTGTTATATAAAAGCAAAAAATTAAGCATTAGCAATGTGTCCTAAATGTATTGTTTTCTTTCTTGGGGGTTTAAAGGTCCATTGTGCCCCAGGAATCCTCTATTTATTTGTTCTCAAACGTTTATTTTTTTATTTTTGGTGTCCAGTTATATTTGTTATTATTAAAAGCAGTTATTCGTTGGCCATAGTTTGCCTTTGCTACGGCAATTAGTACAGTTTACTGCCTGTTTGTTTTAATGTTGTTGTTTTCACAGTTCTTTTACATTGAATATTATCAACATTTAAGACAATTTGATTAGATCAGCCAATAGCAACTGTACACAATATGATATATAATATGATTAACAAGATCAACAAGGAAAGGCTGCATTCAATGACCAAACAACCAATCGTTATGTAGTGTTTCTCTAATTTTATTAAGCATAGTTTATAATTACACTAATTCATGTTAGTGCGTGTATTTTTATTTAGATATCATTTTCTGTCTAATTAAAATTACTCGTATATCGCGATACAATACCTGAAAGTGATAATTTTACAAGGGTGAGATTTAATTAACAGGTGTTTGAAAATAAATCTTACCTGGTCGTTTAACAGAGCCATTTTGAATCTTTTGAAAAAGTACCAGCCTTGGTGCTTTTTTTCCCCAGCTAAGCGTACAAACTCACTTTCTGCTTTATATCCAAAATATTTGAACTTTTTGTCCGGTGTAAAGAGAAGACAAGATGATGTCTTTAGAGATGCAAGTGACCCTTCATCAGCATACCATGTCTGATTTGCATAAACCTTCTCAGGTTCATTTAGTGAAGAATATGCCCAGCCGCTATATGTTGTCCCTATATCGATTGCGGTTACAATTAACCGTTGCTTCATATTAGTTGTCTTTGTTGAATCAGTTGCCATTTGTGCCTGATGAAAGATGAAAGTTTAATTTGACAATAAGTGTACATATATATATATATTTAAATTATATATTATTATAATTATTATAATTATAAGGTAAGGCATAGCATGCTTTCCACCGGACTGATAGACGGATTGTTTGACCCCGGACATAGTCATTCTATAACCATCTGCCGATTTTCACCTACAGGTGATAATTGAAAAACAAGTCGTTATAATAAAAAACAGCTTTTATAACATAATTATACTGAATAAAAAAACCAGCTTTTATAACATAAACTGAATTTTACTTTATTGATATGAAAAGAGTAGTACTTACATTTAATAATACGTATGTTTCCTTCAATGTTCCCTTTCCAATTGAAAAAAAATCGAAATATAGCTGAAGTATCGGAATATACCTGAACTAGGTCAAACAAACATTCGCTTTTTACTTCCTTTTCCGATTAAATCTTACATTAAAAATATCATATAACGGACTGTACAAATACACTTCCTAGTCTAAAATATCCATTTCGAATGTTGCACGTTTGAAGAATCATGATATTTATATACATTTTCTTTGTAAATGTTGCAATAAATAAAGTATCTGTTGATTTAGTTTAAAACGTACAAATTATTTCATTAATTATTTACTGTTTTTACGCTTACTGTTAATACATAATTGTATCATGTACATTTGCACATAATTGTTTAAGTGTTACAGCTTACTAAAATCTGCACCTCGCACGGTTTTGGCTATTGCTATGGAAATTTTTTACAGTTCTAAATGGTGTACCGAAAAGGTGATTTAAGCTTACTAACTTAAAACACAAGCTATCAAGAAAAATGACCCTTAAATCAACATGACAAAATACCCAGACATCTCTCTTACTTTGTTCGTCACCTGGTATAATTTTGGTAATTAACAAGGTAAATGCTTTGTAATTTGCATGTTAACTTCGCTTATAATAAGAATTGTTATACATTTGATTAATAAAACCTCGATGTCTTATATTCCGCTATTAAGTTTCTGAAACAGTTTTATTAAATATCTCATCAAAGGGCTACGAGTCTGAATATTCGTAAATTTACGAGACCTCATATAACCGTACTAACATATATAATATATTATCGTAATAAATTGTAAATCTCAATTTTATTGAATAAATATTTTATTGCTATCTAGAGCACTGTATTGAAATGAATTATAAAACTCAGCGCTAATCGTGGTCCTCATTTGTATGTTTAAGGGGAACTAGTACTGGTGTTAAACGTGTTACCATTAACATACCTATTATTATAACTATTAACTTAATGTACATAATGAAGCAAAATCAAAAAACAAAAGAATAAAACTATAAATAAATTATTTAATTGATTAATTCATTAAGCATTAACGAATTAATTAATCCATTAGTAATTTGTTTGATAACACAACCGAAACAATCAGTTTAAATCAAGCTATAAAGTAATGTGAGAACATAAGGCATTGATTTCGGTAAACAATGTGGCATATACATATCACATTTCCAATGTATTGAATAACAAAACGTCCCACAACAAGTTATTAAGGAGTCATTTGCCCTTTTTATAAAACAAAATATGTATTCAAGATTTAAGGCAAATAAATAAACTATATGTTTTTGAATAACATTATAAAAAATCTTAATTTAATTTATATCAATTAGTTTTTTTTTATTTCTAAACGTTAATTGTGCCTGCATTTATTTATATTTTAGTATTCTTTGCATGTTTTGCACCACATTCTACAGAGAGATTGTTGTTATAGTATAACATGATATCGTATTTTGAGGAAATGAAAATACGGTAAACATTTCATAAATCATGAAGAAAATGAAGAAAAAGTAATTAATTGTATCACAAAAATAAGGCATTTGGTTTGTGTCATTGATCCAATCATTAATGGTTAAATTTCGTACTATTTAGCACGAATTTAATCTCAATAACATACTTTACCATAATGATCGTGTTTAAATGCTAATGATGAAATGTAAAGCTTTTCTTTTTCTTGTTATGTAAACAATAGCGTGTATTTGTAATACCAGGTTATAATTTATGATATATTTATAATAGATGTTAGGGGACAACGTTAGTTTTGTATTTCTTTACGAATCAATTTACAAAATTTAATAGCCAATAAGGGTGTGAAAACTCGTTTTTCTTCCAATCGTCATGTATCAAAATGTATAAACTTCATCGCAAAACTCGCGACAGTTTGCTTATTATTATAATTTTACATCCATTATTTTTCCCTTAACATGTGCAAACAAAATTAAATAAAGAAATATGTTCAGCTATTATCGTAACAGTTAAGTATACTATGATATTAGCCATGACATTAAAATGGTGGTGTCTTTTTCTTTGTGCGTTCAAAACTGCAAGGAAGTACAAGACCAGTTTGTCTACAGATGTTCAATAAACTTATTTTTAAACGATTTATTTTAATTATCTGAAATTAATTGAATGTATCACACCAAACCTATCTCGTATATAAACTTTGCACGTTTAATCCTGGGCGAAATGGACACGTCGATTATATTTATGTTTGAACTACTTTGCCATTTATATCATTAATGAAAGCATAATTACCTAATCTACAGCGTAATATCAACTTTTTAATGAATTACAATATGTACGTGTGCAACTTATTAACAGCGTATCAAAATGATTATTAATTTTAAAAACTTACATAATCATATATAATCCCTTATTTTATATCCACGGCAAATGACTATAGGTAAACAAAATCTTTTTTGTTACGAACCTAGGTTTCCAATGTTTTAGTTAAAAGCAAGATGCCTTTGGAAAAGTGCACAACCGTACATATTAACAAAACGACAATCATAATTTCCCTTGACATTGCATTTTAGTTACTTTACGGGAATTCAAAAGCTCTTTCTTTCGCTGTCCTATGTTTATTTATATATGTACAATATATAATATTTTCAATGATCAATAAAAGAGGGAAAATGTTGTAAATAAGTTAAATTTTGAACGAAAATTTGATTTTGTGTTAACAATTTTGATTATGCTCTCTTCTTGTTGTATGTTACAGGACAAAAAGATGAAAAAAATAAATAAAAAAAATACGCCGTTACTCTCTTATAACGGTATTTGAAATTTACATTATTTTATTGAATATATTCCGGCATTTACCGTTGCTTAAACGGTAATATTTGAAATATTTCTTGTGCAAGCAGAGATAATGTTGGATAATTGAATAAATCTAGCCCGAATTTCCTAATAATACTTTGTTTGTTTGTTTCATTTTACGCCTTTTCCCAACAGTATTTCAGTCATATAGGCGGGTAGTTTCCTAACCATCATTCCTGGAGAGTTACATCAGTACTAGACTACCTTCCTCACTGCTAAACTACCAAAGCATCTCCCGGGGATCGAACCCATGCCAGAGAGGTAATTGGATTAGTAGTCATCGACTCTTACCCCTTCACCACAGAGGCGGTATCCCTAATAATACTTTCAGAAATAAAACACTCACTTTATATTATCATACAAATAAAAGGAAGCCATACAACACGCTAATACAAGATGCAAGATAAATTTAATCACGTTTCAAGTTATTCAGATAAAATATTGTAAATTCATCATATTAAATAAATTCCGGAAGTTTATTTTACATATTATATATATCTCTGGTTTTTTGCAAGTTATTTGTGAAATAATTTATAAACTAGTGTAGTAAATCAGTTAATAAAGAATGAAGATATATTTTTGTTTGTTTGTTTGGATTTTTACGGCACGTCAACACATAACTGGCCATATCGTGCCGAATGCTATTATAGGCTAAAATGTTATGTAAAACTTTGTAAATGACAACAAAAATGAGCCAATTAGATCCTGGAATACAAGTTTATCTCTTTCATATAATCAATGATGTTTTTTATGGAATTGTATTAAAAAGTTCTTTGAGTGAATTTACACAATAAAATCTATTACTTGCCTGTGAAAAATAATGACATTCAAGAAGAAAATGCTTGACATGTAAAATTTTCATTACAAGCTACACAGAAAGGGGCATTTTCATTCGTGAGGAGATAAGAGTGGGTAATTTTAGTGTGTCCAATTCGAGATAGAGATGGTGACATATCAAGAGATGTGTTTATATCGTGAAGATTTTTAAAAACGGCATTGTCCAAATTTGCTTTCCATTCAGATGATACGAGTTTATTTATAGCCGGTCTAAAATCATAAGCAGGCCACAATAAGTCAGATTTTTTTTTTAAATTTAAAGATTGTTTAGCTAAAGCATCTACTTTTTCATTTCCTCGTATACCTACATGACTTGGAATCCAATATAATTTAACAGATTTTTTTAAGTATATCATGAAATCGTAAAAGAAGTTTCCTTATCATGCTATTGTCAGATTTTTTAATGGATACTCAAACAGAAAGATATATTGAGTGAGCATTGATATTAAGGAACTAACTATACATATTTTTAAAAAAAACAACAAGAGCACCGCTAGGCGGAGCATTATATGCCCGAAAGTGTTTTTCTGTAAGAATGAAGCTTATGTTATTGAGATTAAATTCGTGCTAAATAGTACGAAAATGAACCATTAATGACCTTTGACCTTGTGACCCCAAAATCATCCTATGAAGTTTGAATATTGTGGGCCAACTGGAACTTCAGTTAAGCTCATGAAAACTGTTTTCCGTTTTAAGGTAATAGTGACTTTGACTTTGTGACCCAAAAAACAATAGGGTACTTCTATACAATATGCACAATCATCTTATGAAGTCTGAATATTGTGGGCCAAATGGAACTTAAGTTATGCTCCGGAAACTGTTTTCAGTATTAAGGTAATAGTGGCATTGACATTGTGACCCCAAAATCAATAGGGGTCTTTTATCCAATATGGACAATCATCCTATGAAATTTGAATATTGGGGGTCAAATGAAACTTAAGTTATGCTCCGGAAACTGTTTTCAGTTTTAAGGTAATAGTGACCTTGACATTTGACCTCAAAATCAATAGGGGTCTTTTACCCGATATGGACAATAATCCTATGAAGTTTGGATATTGTGGGCGAAATCGAATTTAAGTTATGCTCCGAAAACTATTTTCAGTATTAAGGTAATCGTGACCTTGACCTTTGATCTTGTGACCTAAAAATCAATCTGGGTCTTCTACCCAATACGGACAATCATCATATGAAGTTTGAATATTGAGGGTCAAATGGAACTTAAGTTTTGCTCCGGAAACTGTTTTCAGTTTAAGGTAATAGTGACCGTGACCTTTGACCCCAAAAGCAATAGGGGTCTTCTACCCAATATGGACAATCATCCTATGAAGTTTGAATATTGTGGGTCAAATGGAACTTCAGTTATGCTCCGGAAACTGTTTTCAGTTTAAAGGTAATAGTGACCTTGACTTTTGACCTTGTGACCCCAAAATCAATAGGGGT